AATTAATATCTTGTTAACGATTGTGAATTTTGCAAAATGGTAGAGGACTTTTCGATTCAGTTTAGTCCGTTCTACCTACCCATGAACGGTCATACACCTATTATGAGACACCCAGTATAATAGTTCTTAAAATATTATTATATAATATTATTATATAATCTGTATAATATACATATAATATACAAGAGAGAGAGACAGAAAAAAAATTAATATTAAAATTGATATTAAAAACAGTAAGACTTGTACTGCAAATGCAAAATAAAATTACTCTAATTGCAACAATATCATGCATAGAATATATTTCCCTTAATTTTAGAGGATTCCTTTTGAGGCTATAAGAATAAAATCCTTCAAAGATATAAAGGATTCCAATAATATTAAAATTATTTTTTAGATTAAATAAACACGATAAATACAAGAAACATTATAAATTATCTATAGAACGTGGACAAACGGAATTCTACTGTAATAATAAAGTGTTTTTACTTTTCCTCGACGTTTCTTACGAGATACTGCGACGAAAAGTTACGACAGTTCTGGATATTTACATTTAGGAAACGTCATTGTTATACTGTCTATTGACATATAAATTAATATTCGGTATAATATTAAAACTGTAGCGCGCGCGTATCATGAAAAAAATGATTTTACAAAAACTTCCACAATATTGTACTCGGGTAATTATTACTCGTAAGATAATGATCAGAGTTCGAACCTCGGTGTCGTTTTTCCCATTTCAAACTGCATGCGTGCCGTGACAATGTCACAAGAAGCAATGCCATTTACCTGTTCAAATAGCTTGATAACATGAAGTTATGCCACACTAAATCGTTACACCGGCTTGGAGTGGGAAAAACGAACGGCACTAAAATCTGCCCTAGTAAAAAAGAACTACTAGTGCAGTAAAAACATTATACTGAAATGTAGTAGTGACACTACTGAATTTCAGTAATGTTAGTAGTTCTTTTTTAATAGAGCGGACTCTGGTCATTACGTTGGTCAGTTTCACAATTAATATTGTGGAAGCGAACGATATTTGAAAAATATCGTTCGCTTCAAATCATTATTCTTTTTTCGTGATAAGCGCGCGCTACATAGTTTTAATATACTGAATATTAATTTATGCATCAAATTAATCAAGTTTTTGTGTGTCAAACTACGTGTTTAGTAACATGTAGACCACGTATGCCATGAATTGCTGCCATTGCTATTTTCTTGGATATGTGCTTAATATCTGATATATATTAGTAACATATGTTCTTATATTTATATATTGTAGATTGATATTTTGCAACAGAGACTCGCAGAAAACGTTATAAATTCTAAAAGAAACACTGAAAAAAATTACAGAAGATGCTGGATTTTGACGAATAAGACTTAAAATTTGCAGGCCAGATTTGCTGTATATAACAGTGTTGAAAAATATAATAAAATATTATTTCTAAAAACAAAATTAAATTCTTGAATGAAGTAAAATATTTGATTATTTAAAAGAATCGTTTGTATAAAACAAATGCATGTTGAAGAGAAATACAGTAATACCTGGCACAGGCAAATATTGCGTTGGTAAAAAAATAAGACAATTAAGGAATTTAGTTACAACCTGATTGCGAAAATAGGTGAAAGATCTGTGGCTTCTCTATATAAATAATGTATTCGCCGATTTCAGTGGTAAGCAATGTGTCGCGGGTCCTCCGAAAAACGAAAAAGGTAAGAACTGCACTGTAAGTTTACAATCTAAAATTAATCTGATCAAATTATCAAGGAATACTCATATTGCTTGACAATATAAATTTTGCAGCAAATGATATTTTTCAAAGACTATTTTCTCAGATACATATCTAGCAATTAAGAAATAACTTGCCGTCATTTGAGATCTAATTTGCGATTATTTCAATTACTGGGTGAAATTTTATTAAATTTAGCTTAAGAAATTAAAAACTTTAGAAAAACTTTAGTCTGGATTTCAATATCGATGAAATAATAAAGAAACTAAAATTGATGCAATTATAATTAATCAACAAATTTTTAAGTCTCAGACGAGAGATGCAACCAGAAGGATCAAACTCGGTCATTTTTAATGGAATTACGCGTCGGAGATTGTGGGAATTGTTAGGAACTGCTTGTGTCTTCCTGCTCGCACCTCTCATCGTAATTGCTCTGATCTTTTTATACATCTATCGTCGTTTGGTCGAGATCGCGTTAAGAATTCAGTTGCTGAACAAGTTCGCCGGTCTCTTAAAGGGCACAGATTGCATATGGGCCATTGAAGACGCCGTTTCTCCATCTATTATCAATGTCTTGTTGATATTGGAAAAGACCGCGCAGGATTCAAACGCGAACTTCCTGGAGTCTTGGAGAATTCTGATGAATGAACGGATTGTTTCGAAGGCCTCTGGCACGACGCTTGAGAAAATGTTTTACCTTCGAAGTCAGAAATATGGCTACTATTTTTGGGAGAGAAGCGAGACAGTGGACCTGAAAGACAGAATTAGATGGCTGGAGTGTGTGAACGCCAACTGTGACGGGTCTTGCGAGGATATCTGCAGCGAGTCCTTCAGGAAGACCTTGGAAAGCGTGTGCAACAAACCGTTGCCCAATGATCACCGGGCCGCGTGGGAGATTCTTGTCGGGAGACGCTGTCCGAGGTCCAGATCTCACGAAAAGGATCATTTATGTTCCGATGAGAGCTTCAACACCGACATCCGGAAAATTCCCGTGCTAATTCGCATTCATCATTCTCTAGGCGATGGGGTGGCCTTTCGGGACCTATGGTTCGAAGCGATCGCCGAGAAGGACGAGACAAAAGAGGCGAGAGTAAAGATCAAGAATATCGCTTCGTCAGGCGAGACTGAAGAACGTTTCAAGTCGTTAAAACAAGTGAAAATGTTGACCAAGCATACGTGGTTGAGTCACAAAGTTATCGTACTGACACAACTGTATGAAAGAATTAAAGAGATCACGCGGATAACGATGGCTTTATTTTCTTATCCGAAATACATCGTTCAACTAGCTGTTCGTAGTATGGACAAAAAGTGCGTTTAGTATTTGGTTTATTGTGCACTAAAAAAAAATGTTTAATCCATCCCATTGGAAACAGATGAATAAAGAAATTTATTTCAGTATTAAACTAAACGCCTGAAAAAAGGCAAAAAAATAAAAAGATGTTTAAAATCTCTATTTTCAAAATTAAAATTTATGATTTCACGAAATATAAATTCTAATTAGATATATTTAATATATCTGTCTTTTTTATATTACTATTGGAAATTAAAGCAACACCTTACACACTTCGAAAAATTGGTAAAAAAGTGAGTGTAACTTTAACAAAAATGATTATTAAAAATAGATGTTACAAGAAACATTTTGAAGTTTAAAATCTTTACTTTTCAATACTTTAAATCTGATTGTTTTTTTATTGAGCTACATAGATACACATAAAGATCCGTTAAATCTCAAAATTTGTTATAAACTTTGGAAAGTTTCATGCCGTAAGTGAGAAGTCGAATACAACTGTAGTTTATAACTACCAAAAGCGTGAATGTTTAATTTTAATTTGCGTACTTGTTGATTGTCGTGCAATTATTGTTCACCGAGTTATTCGGCATTGAAGCAAAAAGTATCTTTTTTACCTTTAAGCATAAAAAATAAATGAAATAATACTCGCTAATGAAAAAAAGTACAAAGTTCTCTTTAAAATGTATTTCTCATTATTTTATCATTTTATCGCACGTAACTTCGAACATTAATAAAGAAACGTTATTGAAAGCTTCTTATCTGTTACATAATTGCATTATTTTAAAAATCGCTGGCACGACGTTTGAGAATCTGTTCTATCTTCGAAGCCAAAAATTCGGCTAGTATTTTTGGGAGAGAAACGAGAAAGTAGAGGTAGACTTGGAAGAAAAATATGTTGAACTTGTTTACTCACTTAGGTGAGTGTAATTTTGACAAAAATGTTTCTTAACTTTTAGAATTTACCTATTTCTCGAAGGTGTATAAAGTGTGATGCTTTATGTTTCGCTAGTAGTGTATACGAAGTATCGTTGGAAATAAGTTTTGTTATAATAAATATCATGGTGCAAATAGACATCACGAATAAATGCATTATGAATAAATGTATATTTTTACAGCGCTCTGCATGGTCCACCTCAAACGGGTGAAAAGATAATGTTTTACTGGTTTGATAACGTGACAAATGATAAATCGTTGAATCTTTTCATGAAAATTCGCGAGATAAGAAAACATACAGGTTCCAAATTTGAAGATATAGTATTGGCAGCTTTTTCCACTAGTGTATACAAATATCATTTACGCGTAAGTATAATGTATAAAAAGCAACAAATAAGTCTAAAGAATTTCATTCAAAAATATGTTTAAATAATATCTAGAAAATGGAAAGATTTTTTACACATTTATATTTCGTCAATCTGCATTCAAACTTGTTTTACTATTATAATTTTTCTTATCGTATTATATTATCGTAGATCAAGAAAACAGCTCCCGATGCATTAACAGTTGGTTTTCCAGTAAGAATGGCAATACCTGGGCAAAATTTAACGTTAGATAACAACTTTTCGATTGCTTTCTTGCGAATTTGTATCTCCAATGTGAATGGGCAAACAATCGTCGAGCCAAATCGGGATTCACAGTTTTTTAAGCGTCTTCAAGATATTACGAGAGCAAATAACGAGCTTAGAAAGCGTTTAGACATCTTCCTTAATTATTGGTCCATGAAGTACCTGTTCGCGCTATTGCCGGTGAAAATATTGAAGGCTTTTCTTTTAATAAGTGACTGCACGGTTGGGTTTAGCAATATGCGTGGACCGGAAAAAGCTCATATTCTGAATAATTCCTTGAGCAACATTGTTTTCTGGGTACCAAACAGGTATTGTATTTATCCTTTTTTTACAATAAATAAAATTATTATTTATTGTAGCAATAGGTATATGTATAGATGCATCATAATTCGTTTCCAGTAGCACTACTGCTCTCGGCCTATCTCTGATAAGTTACGGAGGCAATTTACAACTGTCTTTAATAGCTGATAAGTCAATTGTAAAGAATGAGACATCTTTTAACGAGCTTTTAGAAAATACTGTACATGAAATAGAGAACGCTTATAATCATGTTGTACTGATGCGATTGAAGCCATCAGATCTTCCCATAGAAACACCTGCGGAAAATGGTAATTCAAATTGAATTTTTAATTATAATACTTCTACATTTAATTTCTATATTTTTTTATATGCACATAGCAATAAAATATTTAGTAAATTTGTGTTCACAAAATGAATCTTTGTATTTTTTCAGATATCGGCATGTTTCGGAAGAAAGAAGTATGAGTGACTGAATTATTTTATCTCTTTTAATAATGAAATATTCTGATTAATGTGAATGCATTTGTGCTAAGAGTATAAATTACTTTAATACATTTACATTTAATATAAGTAATATTAAATAAAAGTAAATACGGTTTTTATGAAATTATTTATAGAGATTAATAATTTAATCTTTATAATAAATTTATTTAAAACTGTATTGTATTAATAAAGTTTTTTAATTTATACTTTGTGATGTATAAATATATATCTGTTAGTTAAAGAATTCGAAATTATGTTTTCATTAGTTAATCTAGTATTATCTGTTTAGTATTGTTATCTATTTAATTTTATTAATCTTATGTTTGATTTACATGTATATATATATATTTTTTTTTTGTGATAGCAGTTAAGTATACAAATATCGTATTATAATACAAGTGATATGATGATGTAATATTGATGTAATATTAATATCACTTATATACGCATGTTATCTGTAAATAATATTACTCATATTGTATCAGTCTTATCATGTAAACACAGCCAATGCATATCAGTGCCTTATCACCATGCATTGAACTAGCGATTCAGCGATGCGTGTCTATTTCAGTAATGAGATTGACCTGTTGGTAATTACTGATACGTCCCATTATTGCATTAAAATTTTCCAATTACACAAGTCTATATCCGCCTCTAATCATCGCTCATTCAAATTAAGTAAGTTTACGGCACTCGATACTTTTTCTCCAAATACATTCAATGTGTAAATAATACATCTACCTAAATATAGATCCGAATTCAAGGGATACAAAGATGAATAGCTGGTCGCAATTGCGTATTACTGGTTGTGAAACGTTCCCGCCTCAAACAACTGACGTTATATATTCAATAGCGGCGGAGCTAGGTGAATGAAATATGGGAAATAACTGCTGCGAAATTAATACATGTATTGTGAAATGATGAAATAGCATTTATTTTATGTGCTTAACCACAAAAAAAAACCTGTTTTAAATATTGAGAAATAATGATTGGTTAACAAAATCACTCTTTTTCCAGTAACTTAATATTTTTGAATGTATGATTTATTTAAGCACAAAAAATAGTTATTTTTGAATAACTTTTTATTATTATACAAATATAATAAGTAATATACGTTTTTTGCATGTTTACAGCGTTTACTCCATTTGTGCATAACTATACAATGTATTTACATTAAAGTCTTTAAATTACACTTAACTCTTTGGTATAATAATCAAAGTGTTCTTATGGATTCGAGATCATCAACAGTCTTGCTTCCGTTGCACCGACATCTCGGAAGACGCGACTGCCATCCACTCGTTGGACGTCGACTGGAACCACGTCAGGCCCAAGGAATATCTGCCATTGAGATTGGCGTGCTGGCAATGACTGAACCACCATCCACCCCGATAGTTGGCCGCGCAGTCGGTGGTGCTGATGTCCATGTCACGATCTTTGGCGCTGAACGCCATGCCGTCCTGATAGGACAGCGCGTCGGTCGCGTTGCCCGAGTAACCGGATACGTGCAGCCGGTAACCGGTCTCCTCGGAATCGACGGTGAAGTGCTCGTACTCGGCGCGCCAGCGCACGCCGTAGGTGTCGGTCAGGTCGACCCGCAGCCTGCTGCAATTGTCGCGGGTGAGCCGATGCAGCGCCTCGTTACCGAGCCAGAACTCGCTGACCGGCGAGCCGAAGCCGACCGAGTACTCGTTCCAGGTGCGATCGAAGTCGACCGCGCCGTCGATTCTGCGGGCGACGACGATCCATCCGGCGCGGCAGGAGGCCAGCAGAGGTGTCCCGGGACCGGGTGCCAGCAGAGTCAAGCCGTCGCGCTCCTCGCAATTCCCCGGAAGGGAATCCACCATCAGGCGATACTGATCCTCCACCTGTTCCAGCTCGTGCGTGACGTTCGCTGCCTTGGCCAGATTCCGAGAGAGGTCCAGTCGGCTGAGAGTCTCATTCAAGGCGTCCAGACTCTTCCGCTGCACGTCGCTCTTCTCCTGCAACTGCGACGCGCTCACGCTCAGCGCCTGAACCGCCCGGCGAAGATTGCCGAGCTCCTCCCTGGTCAACGACAGCTCGGCCGCCTTTCGCGCCGCATTTATCTCCAGCCTCGCCAGCTCCCGCTTCACTTCGGAGCGATTGGTGAAAACGGCCTCCTCGAGCAGACGTACCGAGTCGTACAGCCGTACCACCGACTCGTCCAGCTCGTTCATCGACACCAGATCCCGGCTCGCGTTGGACACCTTCATCGAGAGCTCCGCCTGCGCCAGCTCGAGGCTCCGCACTCGCTCCTCGAGATTCTCGCGGTCCTCGTACACCACCCGCTTCTCCACCATCGCTCGCTTCCGCGCCACCACGGAGATCTTCCGCTCGACGTTACGCAGTCGTTCCTCGAGCCGAGCCCGATGAGCCAGGGCGCGAGAATAGCTGTGCCTTCGGGCTGACGTAGCCTCGTGCGATCCGCTCACCTCGTTGCGAAAGATGTCTGCCTTGCTGCGATACTCCGGCTTGTGCGGATCCTGCCGCTGTCCGGGCAGCGTGCAGGACTCGCACTTCAGGGACTTCAGCTCGATCTGCACCGTGCTTAACTGCCAACAAATGAAAAAAAAGGTAAGTTTTTGCACGGCAAAAGCTGTACAGGTTTTTGTACGGCAAAGTAATGCTGACTCGGCGATTATTAAACTTAAACATCTCTCTATGACTGCAGAGATCTTTAAAAACAAGATCTGATAATTGATAATACAACAAGTTCTCAAAAGCGATTAGCGAAACCATCAGTAATCTCGTGAATCTCTTGGTTCCACAAAATAAATTTCCTCTCGATTCTCTTTAATCCATCGACTTTTTACAGGCGGTCCTTGATCGCGTGGTATGCGTGACTGCACGTGTGTCACACACACGCGCTTGTGGAATGCGTGAGAGTAGGGCCACAGCTGTCGACTCGTGTGGCTGCGGTCGCCAGCGTGTGTCAAATATCACAGACGGTAAGGATCGCCGAATCGGACTTATGTTGTTGGGATCAAAAACGAATTTACAAATACGCGCATAATATGAATTGTAGAATTTCTCTTATGCATTAAGAAAGAATTCAAGATTATTAATTTTATATACAGTATCGCGCATATTACTTTAATATATTATATAATATAATTTCGTGTGCTATTTATAAGTATTTTTTTTAAATAATTGAATTAGTAAATACAATAATCCATTATCTGTCGCGTTTCTTTTCCTCAGCAAAATATTTAAAAAATCCAATACTTTATGTCATCAAAATAATTTCGCATAAGCAATTGAACGAGATGAATTTTAATTTAATGAACTTGCATATCTCTATTCCGCCTAATGGCCTAATTTGCCCTCAATCTACGCAAATCTTATTCTTAAATTTTATTATATTTGACTTGTTATGACGATTGAGAGTTGAAAGTAGAAGCGCAAAAGGGCGGCAAGTATTTAAGAGGGGGCAGGAGGGTAAGGCCGGTGAGCCCGATGGGCATATGTGCGCGGCTCAAACGAAAGGCCCGTTGCGCGGGCGAGGCGGGAGGAAGGGAAGAGGAGGAGGAGGAGGTTGAGAAGCAGCTGCCAAGCGGCAAAACGAGAAACAGGAACGAAGCAGCTGGCCGCCCCGTGCAAGGCGCAGGTGCACGACCACCATACCCCCTTTCTTCTTCCTGCCGTAAATACTAAATGGTAGCGGCAGCCGTTATCTACATGGACGCCCGTTGTCCGCGCGTGAGCGACCGCATGCCCGGGCCCTTCGGCGTGTATACGCATACCACGAAATCGATCTCGAGGGCCCATTGTGGGCGAAAAAATCGGCCGTGATCATTGAGCGGCACGCGCGCGTCTAGGAATTCCGGGCATTCCGGCAGATCCCGTCGACGACGATGTATTGATGAACGTGCGTAATATACACACGTTTCTTTACACAATAGAATATATTATTCATTTGTCTACAGATTTTATTTACATGTAAAAGAGAGGAGAATCTGACTTCGGTAACGCTCAATCTTAAACATCTGCCGATTGAGCACTGAATTATAATACGTATCAGTACGGTAAAATATTCAAAAAAACTGACAAATGTATATCCCAGATATAAATTTTACTTCCCACGAAGAACAATTGAAAAATTCAAGATTAGGAGCTGTTGCTTCAGAATAAAGTAAATTCTTTGTGCAATAAGTAAATCTCTCTCCTCTCATTTCATGCCTGGTTTGGTCCGACCGCGTTGCAAATTGGTACCACCTGCCTATCATTTTCTGCTTTCTCTCTCTCTCTCTCTCTCTCTCTCTGAGGTATCAGCCTTACGCTCTAACATCTGCAAAAAAGAAGAGACAATTTACCTGACTGCTGACGTCCGCGCAGGAGCGGGACAGGAGGCTGGCACGTTCCTTGGTCGCGGCGATGTCGAGCCTGATGGTGCCGAGGGTGGCCTCGATCTTGGTGATCCTCCCCCCGAGGTCGCGTATGCTCCTGCCGACCTCGGCGACGTCGCCCTTGAGCAGGGCCAGCTCGCTCCTCATCCTCGAGCGCTCGGCGAGCTCCTCGCTGGCGTTCCGCGTCCTGAGCACCTCGGCGACCTCGCTCTGCAGCTCCGTCACGGCGCTGCCTAGCCATCGCACCCTCAATCGCTCGTTCTTCGCCTCGTTGCCGCTTCCGCCGCGAAGAGCGTTCACTTCCTTCCTGCACGTGCGAGGGGGATACGATTATAATGCGTTTTTTTTTTTGTGGTGCCCCTTCATTGTAATGATCATATCTTTTCTTCGCGTTTCGTAAAAGCAAAATAGAGGAGACAGCTAAGACCGACGTACTTTTAAAAGAAGGGTGAAACTAGAGATTAAATCTCTATATTTTTATCTCTTATTATCAAATTAACTTCATACGTTTTTTAATCGTATTATTATTTTAAAAAATGCGTTACTGTCTAAATTCCGTCTAAATTCAGTTAGATTTGACTGTTAAATTTTAATCATTTTTATATAAGAAAATACGAAAACAGTACCGTGTCCTGTTGCTTGACAGAAACCTTAGACTTCAATTAACTCCTAAGACTTCTCGCACAGGTTGTTAGCGTAATTATGCACTTGGTGAGTTTTAGTATACACATATGTGTATTGTATTACAATACACTACATGCAAAAAAAAAAGACGAAGCAAATTGCATCTTACCTTAGTTGCTTCACTTCGTTCCTAAGGACGATGAGTTCCGTGTTCTTCTCCATTGCCTGTTTCAAACTCTCCTCCAGGGCATTATAATCCTCCTGTCGATGATCCAATAACGCGCTCACTTGCTCCTGCAGCAGCTTGATCGTAACATTGAGCTCCTCGTCCGCGCGCGTGCCGGCAATCAGCGTATCCGCAGCGAAAATCGCTGATAACAGCAATAGTAGATTCGCCATCTCCGCCGATCTCTCTGGATATCTTCTTTCAAATAAATCCTCGAGTACCGTGTGTGTGTATTATTTTATCATTCACACACACACACACATACACAGAGTCTGAGGCCTCGATAATTATTTTTAATCGATACTTTTTATTTCCAGATTTAATGTCTCTTAAATCCTCGCATTTTCGAATTCTCGTCACAATCTCGACTTCGAATCGACTCTTCTCGATGAGAATTCTTTGCGACACCTTATTCAGCACGACTGACGAATGGATTTTGTCGTGATTCAACGTGATTCGCGCGCGATTTATCCGATTTATCCCGATATGGCTTGAGACCAGTTTTCAGTTCGAATCGCGAAGTCACGTGCGGAGCGGGGCCGGATTGTCGCAGTGTGCTTGACCGCCTCTCGAAAGCCTACTGGCACGGCCGAAACGGTGTACGAGTTTTATATCGGCCCTTGGACAAAGGTCCGCTCGCGGACCCGGTGTGGAGCAGGTGTTCGGCAACACCAGGCCCTCGTCAGGTATATATTGTCTCGCGCGCCGCCGCCGCCGCCGCGCCGTTCGTATCCCCTACATACGCCTGTTATGCGGTCCCTACCCACTCTCATATTTCGAGATGAGTATGAGATCGTAATAGATACGTCGTGTACGAGATCGCGATATGATAAATGCGCGAGTACAGGCTGCTGGGGTAATAAGCGCGTCTGGCGAACGGGGCGAGATTTTCGGCTGAAAATTTTTATATTCTCCCGGTAAAAATTCCAGATATATGCGTTAAACCTTATATAGATCCTTCTGTAAAATTTTTGAGCTCTATTTTCGTTTAGTATTTTAGCGAATATCTCTAAAATTCTAATTCAGAGTGGGTCCTCAAATTTTGTAAAAGAATTCCCTGAAAATTCCCGAATTTTCCAGGAACTTTATTCAAAATTCCAGATAAGATTAGAGAATTTCTCAATACAGCTTTAAAATAAATTAGGCACTAAGAGTTCTAATAACGTACAGAACTTGGTGCGTGAAACAATTTAATCTTCTCATATGTGCAATAATTACATCTCCATACAAAATTTTTCGAACGTAACGAAAGATTTTATATGGAGATGTAACTACATATGTGAAGATTAAATTGTTTCACGCAACAAGTTCTGCATTATTAGTTTCTTAATGCCTGATTTATTATTTCCGGATTATCGTTTTTTAGATTAAAGAGTCTTTATATAGTATGTCAATTTTTAAATAAATTAACTTTCAATATTAATTTCGGCCTTCGATATATGGGGCCACGTTTACTTTCTAAAGGGATAAAATTGAATTTAAAAGTAGAATTCAAAAAATTTTCTTGAGTACCAGTAAAATTCCCTGAGAATCCATGATTTTCAAGGGCAAAAATGAAATTCCTTGAGAATTCCAGGTTTTCCCGATTTTTCCCGATAATACCCACCCTAAAATTAAAGTCCACATGTAGAGGATCGGATGGATAAAACTTTCTTATTTGCTTGCGATTTTCAGAACGAATAGAAAGCGCGAATCGCTGAGGAATGTGTTACGCTTTAAACGGAAGATATGGATTTTCGTTGTGTCGCCTAATCGGAGAAAATGAGAAAAGACAAATAACGGCCAGTCGGGTAAAATTAATAATTTATTGAAAACAATTGTCCAACCTGTTGGAGTCTACCGTCTATACTTATAGATATGGTAACGCGTTAGTAGATTATTCAGTTTGGGGTGATGGAGGTACGGCTACGTGTTTATGTGTTTGAATTCTTTTGTATGACAAAATGTTGGATATATTAACACGGAAATTTCCACGCACGCATAGACACGCGTTTTGTGAAAATAACATTCTCCCGTTTAAATACAATACGTCACTCGTTGCCGAATAACGTTTACACGATATCTCGCGATATCTCTTCGAAATCGATGCTAACGATGCTAAGGATTATCGGATATTCCATGAGTAATAATATGGCAGAAAAATGGCACCGAGCTAATTATTCCTGTAAAGGCGAGTAATCGATTCAACAAACACGATAAGATTCGGTTAGATATAACAGACAGCTTTTGCAATATCGCATTTTTTTTTTAATATGGTAAACGCTAAAGATCACATGCAACGCTGCGGAAATGGACTGATAACTCATGATTTATTTGTAGTCTTATGCGAAATATACTTGTGCGAAATATACCAAGCTCAGCGAGTTCAGCGTTTACGGTATCCGAGGGCGTTTACGATATTGCAAAAACTCGCCAGCAACACGCGGGTTGGAGTGAAATTGGATCAAAATTAAAAACCTGCACCATAGAAACAGCACTGAAAGAATCTCTAAAAAAATACGTTGGCGAATGGAAGCGAATCGGTAGGGGAGGTTCCATCTTAATCCGATTTACAGCCCTACAGCCCCATTACAGTACACGTAAATAATTCACCGCTTATCACTTCGCGGCACCGAGTTCGCGTTAATTCGCGTCGGCTCTACGTCGCAAATCTAGGCGATAACGCACTTAAATACTTTCGGGAGCGTAGCTCTACGGCTCTTACGCTCGAAAACGAAACGTGTAAATTTCTCATACACAACGACACAATTGTTGGTTGAATCTCAAAACGCGTAAACAAAAAAAAACCAATCTCAACAAAAAAAAAAATTAAAAAGCGAAGCTCTTTCTTTTCGTTATCATATTGCTACGTCCCTGGTTGGGGCATCGTATGCCTAACACGTGCCATTCGCGTGCCCCCAATAAATTCTCTAAAGAATTACGTCACTCGAACGCATCTCGGCGTTCAGCGTCTGTTATCCTGTTAACAAGTACTACATACTTAGCGCATACTACGGAAGTTAATCCGCGATTACACAGCCAGAGAGTCAAATTTAATTTCGTGCAATGTGTGTGCGTACGTGAACGCTGAATTGGTCTTCCACCTTAAGTCTGGGCAGAGCCGTACGTGCCGGTCGGCGGCCGGTAGAGTCTGGGCAGCGTCAGAATCTGCAAGCTGTTGAACGCGTACTTGCGCACGCCGATGTTCTTCCACGTGTTCTCCCGGCGACAGCCCTCGCTGAAACAGAACGAAGAGACATTGTTTATCAGACGATTTGAGATTAACGAGATATTCCCAATAACAATCGTTATTCCCGATAAGAGAACAGATTTTAAAACATTTAATTTTGTGAATATAATTTTCAAAATTATTCATGGTATAACAATTAAAAGATAGATATAATTTTCAGAATCGTTCATAGTCCAACAAATTATTTAGTGCATTGCAAGTGTGGAAACGATTTTGAAAAATATGATTATTGCTACTGATTTAATTCAGCTCCTCCTCAGCCCCGCCCTCAGATATTCCTTTTCTTTCTTTTTCTTTCGCGCTTACCTTCGCATACAGTCGAGAGCCCTCATGTACTCGTGTTCAGCCAGATGGTATTCCGACGACAATATATTGACTTGTTCAAGAGTGATCGCCATACCGGTCCTATCTTTCGCGCTTTTGCAGCTGGTGAATCTCAATCCGCGCATTCTTCGGCATATTTGCGAGGACAGTTGCAAGATTTCTACGTTCTTGTTGACTCTTTCCTGCACACATGTCTTCAAATTCATCATCATATCCGACAAGGTGTGGCCCAGAATCGACCTAGCGGCAACTGAAAGAAAAAGACGCACCAATTTTAGAATCTGTCGACAAGAAAAGTTTTTAACTTTAAATTAATTAAGTTTAAACAACACCAAAATCTAAAAGACGATCGAAGAAAAAATCTCATAGATTTTACATTTTCTTAGACAATGTTTCTTGGATTTTTGGATCTCTAATATATTTTAAATTTAGTTCTATACTCACAACGCGTGGATGTAGGTTCCGTCGGTAGATTCAGCTTTTTGAATCTCAAGTAATATTCGTTCAATCTATCGAAATTATCCATATTGCTTTTCTCCTGCGGCTTCGTGGTGCCGAGGCTCTCGGCTAAGGAAGCCATCTCGTTGATGCCGACGTTGAAGAACACCGGAGTCACGTTGAACGACAACGTTTGTCTCGAGGAGGGCACTAACGGCAAGAGGGAGTAAATCGCGTCCGGAACCGGGAGTATCACCGTCAGCGCGCTCCGCGATCCTACTACGCGCGGCACAGGTAGCTGAAACGTGCTGGCTTTTCCTTCGACCCTGCAAGAATAGCATTCGCACGTTTGGACGAAAATTTCTTTCTAACGTAACTCAATCGAGAAAGAACGTGATAAAAGAAAGTTCTACCTACCTGGGTTGAATGCCACATCTGGACAGAGTGAATGTGACGGTATGCGTGTCCTCGACCGCCACGGCCATGTCGCCCCACATGTCAATCTCGTCTCCGTAATAGCTAAGAAGGCCTTCGAAGGAAACCAGTGGTCCCAGAGTTGTGAGTATTAGCAGAAACATCGGGTCGGGCCGTTGGCACCACAGTTTCGCCATTATGCCGGTTACTAAGGCAGTTAGCTGAAATTTTACGGAAATTTTACAAGGTTACTCCTAGTTGTTTTCACATCTTTTTTTAAGGTTAGGTTAGACCATCTTTGAGACCTTAAAAGATATCTAAGTTTGGGATTTTTTTGTTGGTAAATAGATAATCTATTAAAAATCTATTCAGAGAACATTATTGTATATAAATAGATAACTCTAATTAAAAATCTATTTATAGGACATTATTGTATATATATAAGTAAAAAAATTTTTTTAATTTTTTTATGTCTAAAATGGCACTGGCGGAATCCCTTTTTTTCTGTAGCTTCAAATCGATGTAAAAGATTCCAGGCACACGGTTTGATCTTGAACAAAATACAAAGAATTTTCATTATCGACATATTAAAGATTAATGAAGTACGTAGGGGTTTTTTTTTAAATATTGATTTTTCTCAAAATGACAACTATTATATAAATAATGTGTATTTTTCGCCAGTACAAGTCTTTCTTAAAATAGCTGCCATTTTGAGAAAAATCAATAATTTGAAAAACCTCTATGTACTTCATTAGTCTTTAATATGTAGATAAAATGAAAATGATTCTTTGTGTTTGCTCAAGGTCAAATCGTGTACCTGGAATCCTGTATACCAATAGAAGAAAAGAGATTTCGCAAATGTAGGCCAGTGTGCAGTTTTGGACATAAAAAAATTTTTTTAAATATTTTTTTAGTTTCTTACATATGTTTCTTACATGTACAGTAATGTCTTCTAAGCAGATTTTAAATAAAGTTATCCATTTAATCACAAAATAAATCCCAAACTTTAGGTATCGTTCTAAAACCTCTACCGTTCTAAAAAGGTGGCATAACCCCTTAAGCTGAATAATATCGTGATAAGCTCACCGCTTGACTGAAGCAAACGTCCCGTCTGTACCGGACGTTGCACGCGCGCTGCGCCGTTTTCGAGTCCTCCTGCACGCGAAACACAGAGTGCGTCAGCCTTGCAGTCTTCAGCAGACCGTCCATGGCTTGCCGCAGCTTCTTCATGCTCGGCCGGAGCTCGCTCGTCCAGTCGACGATCGACGCGAAGTCTAGGCCCTCGGTGAACTTGTTCCTCTGTCCCGAATTACTTTTGATCACGCGCGTCATCGAGTCGACCGCTTGGCACACTTCATTGGAAGACGAGTTACGGTAAGTATCGGTTATCCCTAACAATGCATTACGTTGTAGGTGTTTTTACTACGTTTCTTTTCTTTTTTTTTTTCTTTTGCACAAAAGAACACATCACATTAGGCGATTCCCTTACCTTCCTTTGCCTTGGAGAGCGCCGGTTTCTCCATTCCCGGGCTCGACTCCTCCAGCAATTTGTTCGACTCCTCGCATTTGATGCCGTTTTTCGGCTGAATGGTCACGACCTCGACGTTGTGCCGATTGCTCGGCAGGCAGCCCTTCAAGCTCTGCGATCTGCCCAGGCTACCCTTGTTACGCAACCGCACGGCCGGACTGCTGCATCTGCCGCAGAGAAACTTGACCTTCGACACGAGGCACATAACGCTCGCCTCGATGTTCAACTGAGTGAGATCCCACGGCTCCGGCTCGTCCGTGGGTTTGTAATAATTCGCGGATGGCGAATTGCACATCTTCTGGGTGTCCAAGAAACGCTTGCACGGATCGGTGTCGTTCCTCAAGTCTTCCTTCTCGTCGTCGTAGCCCTCCTTCTTCTCGCTGTCGTGATTTCGCTGAACATTCTCGCCGGTTTCCGCCTCCGTCTGCTTGGGATCGTCCTCCACGTCCGGGAATATCACGAAATTCTCTTCCGCGATGTCGCCCTCGCCGGTGTTACTGTTGGGCGCCTCGTTTCTAGAGTACGCGAGGGAGGCGTACTCCCCGTTCCTGATGCCGTTCTTCGACCAGATGTCCTGCACGCACTCGGGAGTGTCGGGCGTGACGAAGTCGTCGAAATCGGGGCTCCTCAAGTCGAAGTTCAATTGCTGCGTGATCCGTTTGAACGGCGACAGGGATTGATTGACCTTAAAGTCCAGCGTCAGAGTGTCGTCCGAGGACGTGGTTGAGTTATCCTGGACTTTCGCGACTTTGTACTCTTCCAGAAACGTTAAAGCCTCCTCCACCAAGCCGGGATCCCAGAGACTGAGCAAGATCCTGGTCTTCGTGATCATGTCCTCGCATATCGGTAGCATGCCACTCGTCTGCTTCTCCTTGGCGAGTTTCATCAAGGATCTCATTGCCTCTACAACGTCCCGGCGTAGTTGCTTGATCGCCTGGATCGCGTCGTGCGCCATCGTAATTTTGGATGTTCCCTGATACAGCTGATTACTTCGCATGGGCGACTCCTTCAGTGCCTGCACCAATCTGCAAATGAAAAATGCAATTTATTAAAATCCGTAAGTGTATTTTACATTTACTTTGACGATTAAAGCGTACACCATGTGTATACCTTATGAGTCCGCCGTTTTTGCTTTTATGGGAATGAGCCGTGAACGCTCCTACGCTAATAAAATCGTAAAACCCACACTTGTTCAACGTGTCGTTGTGGACCCACATTCGTTGAAGGTGTAAATTCAAAGGCGCAAATTCGAGAGTGCGGTCGTTCTTACGCGACGACTGCTTGAAATAACTCCCTGAAATTCGAATAACCAAACGTTAGAGTATTAGTTTTTAGAGACGGGCTATGGAGCGCGTTTTTTTTTTCACGGATACGTTAAATTATTTATTACGAAATCGTGGATACTTACCTTTGTAGGCGGCTAAGTTTTCTTTGGCTTGGGAATACAAATGTAACAAGTGAAGATGGCGATCGAGCAATTCGATTTGCTTCGTATGCCAAGGCTCCCTCAGCTCTCCCATTCCAGCTACCTCTTGTAACAATTCTTTCTCCTCTTGTATCCAAATACCCCTGCAATTTGTCGCTAAATTATTTCACCATTCAGTTTTTTCGCACTTTCACCGCAAGACGAGATGAAATATTACTCACAGCAAATGTTGCGGAAATTGAAAACAGAGTTTACTCTCGGCCATAATCTCATGCACGCATATATCACCCCCTAATCCAGAGTGGAATCTGCGACAATTACATTTAGATGATTGTTATAAAATGCATCGATTGGGTCGTTTCGTTGGTGTAGAAGCTTACCTGTAAGTCTGCACGAATGGATTTGCAAAGAGAAGTTTTAACTGGCCTTGATGCGGGAACTTAATTTTCGTCCCTAATCTCGGAGGTAACGATTGCGAGCGTCTGTGCGAAGGCAGCTAAAAAATGTATTACAGTTCGATAAGAATGAAACGTTTCTCTATAAGCGATAAGATTAAAAATCAAGATTAAACGGTAAGACAAAACTTGTTTGAAAACACTGATTCATTTATTACCTGTTGTTGATTATTACTGTTGTACACTGCATTTCGCGACGGCGTACTCTCTGTGCTATTCCCTTTATCCTCGGCTTCCAGATTCCACACGTTAATTGTTAAAAATCCGACTGTCGTTGTTTTCGCTGACTTTAATGGTATCCTTAATCTAAAAGAATCAAAGGAAGACAGATGAAACAACAAAATCAAATTAATTAAATAATTCGATAGTTTCGCATTTGATCGAAGAAAGTTATATTTTCTTAAACTATATAAAATTTTCAAAAAACATAGTTACATTTTAAATTCGAAAGTTTTATATTTTGTTACAAAATTTTCAATTTTATTTAACCCTAATCTAAAAGAATCAAAGAAAAACAGATGAAACAACAAAATTAAATTAATTAAATAAGTTGATAGTTTCGCATTTAATCGAAGAAAGTTACATTTTCTTAAAATATATAATTACATTTTAAATTTGAGTTTTTTTTTGTTGCAAAATTTTCAATTTTATTTAATATTTAATAACATCTACATTATATATATATATAGAATTACCTAGGAGTGTCTTGCACTGTGCTAAATGTCACTATCGCGCTTCCTATTGGAGTTGCGGTCTGGCTGACTCTTTCTCTGACGTCGTATGCGGTTATCCTAATTTTCGTTTCAGTGGTTAACCCGTCGCTGGCTCGAAAGCTTACCGTAGTTAAGAAATTCGGATTACTACTTTGCTGAAACAAGATCGACGAAGAAACTCTTATAGAACTGCGCACCTTGAACGAGATAAACAATTCTTGAGAATTTTTCGTTGGTTACCTCTATGACTTCGGTTCGTGCGTACTTAATCCAAGTTTTGGAAGATTTTGCCTGTACATCTATCTCTAAAACGGGAGTGGGCGGTCGGCCGTGCCCATCGCACAACAGATTGTCGCAGGCTAACGATACCTCGCACATTGGTACTTCCGCCGGATCTGAGAAAACAAAGCATAAAATCAGTGGCGCCGAATTTTACTTGTCACGCTTCATGCATCATAAAGTGTTAACAGCGATCCACAATTGCTTTTCACAAAATACAGCTTTGCTACGAATATTAATACAACTTTGTAAACGAATAATAAAGTTATATTTCCAAAAAGCATGCATTGACATTTTGTTAAGAATTTATTGCAATAAATTGATCCTGCATTAATTAGCTTCAAAAATTCAATATTAAATTCATCAAGTAAATCTCGCGTTCAATTTTTATTAAATTCTGCTAAATATTAGTCTATAAGATTAAAAAACAATTTACAACAATCAACGCGCTGAAGAACGCGCGAATAAAATTGTGCGCTCCGCAACAACGAAAGAGCTTTCAGTTTTGCGAATACAAAGCATTCGCACCTGTGAAGGTCCCGCGCTGCAGCCGCAACATCTGTATGTCGGTGTCGTGCTTGTGCCCGCTGAAGGCCTCGATACGCTGCCGCAGCGACAGCAATTGGCTCCGCATGCACTCGTAGCTGGCCAGCTGCAGCGCCTGCAACCAACTGTCCCGTTCCTCGGCCGTGTTCGCGCCCAACTGTTGAAACAAGCCTCCGTCGAAAACTGCAAACATTTTTCCTCTCTGTGCTTTTGGACGTCGCCACGCGCGCTACGTGAGAGCGGGGGGCAGACGTGCATGCACACGCGGATGACGTCGACGGCGACGACGACGACGGATGTGTGTCGTCAATGCACCGATGCGGCAAGGAGAAGGAAGAGAGGGAAAGAGGGAGATTAGCAGAAGGTGTACAGATGGTGATACTTGCCTATGCTGAATCCGTAAGGAACGTGATTGCTGGACGGATCCACGCGGACCGTGCACTGCTCCAGTATGATCACCCCCAGCGGCTCCGACCACTGCTCCCGCGATTTGAAATAGAACAGAAGGTTGCCTCGCAGTCTGCACCATCGTTCGAGACTTACTGCACAAGAGAAGCGGCGGCGACTGTTAAGCGCGACTGTTCATACGTACATCGGGCACATTTTCCATTTAGAGAGGGGAGGCTTCGGTGCACGATAACAAGCGGCAGAAGAAGAGACGAGGGAGAGGAGGACGATACTCGCGTTGTTCAGTCCCTTGCGAACACATGGCGATTAGCAATGATAAACAGGCTTTCCGAAAGAGCGTATTAGTCGCAGTGAGACAGCCGTTAATAATAATAATTGCAAATGAGAATTCTCTAATTATTTAAGATCTGCTGCAGCAATCAGACTTAAGTTTACCACTGCCTGTGAATACTGGCATCGAGACAATATTCTTCTGCGAGATCATCTTTTTTTCTTTCTTTCTTTCAGCCTTGTGTTCACGGAACTAAAAGTCGCTTCGGCATCTCGGAAAAAAAAAAATTGATCAATCGCATTAGTCAATTGGACAATTGAATTGATCAAATATAATCACATTTGTTAATTCTTTTTCCGTCCGAGATCTCGGAGCAATTTCCTGCAACATCGTCGACAAGACTTTATACTTTTTAATACTTTTAACGTACACGTGGCGCTATCGATTTTAGAGATGTGCCCTTACGAGAATGAGTTTCCTCGTGAGACCAATTTGCCCTTATCATTACGTCATTACGTCATTGCGTCCTTGATCTCTCCCCTTCTCATCCTCTTTCGTTAAGATCGATGCGCTCTCGAACTAGGGTATTTACAAAATACGAGAACTCAAAGCAAGATTCTTATATGCTGCAACGATATAAATGTAAAATGCACACACATATATTTTATGTTTCATGCTTCCAACTTATCCTCTTAAAATTTAAAGCGCTGCGTGTCCCGTGGCGTGAATATTTGCAAATTAAATTGAGATTTTCTATGATTTTTCATCATTTTAGAGTTTCTATCACACACAACATGCGAAGCATTCCGTTTCACATGCCATTCACTCTCGATTCACCAAAAGCTTCGTAATTTATTGAGCAAATTTGACACTTCATTAACATCTTTAACAAAAAAAACAATTGTACCATCTATATATTTAAATATTTAGCTGTTTAGATATTTACTGCTGATATAACAACTTAAATAAATGTAAACCAAGTATAAGACAAATTACAAAATATCAAACTGTGAGAATTTATTAAGTAGATCTTTCGCTTTTATTCTAATAAATCGAGAGTCAAGAGCTCAGTGACAAGCACATTGCATGCAAACATCACATATTAGGTAGCAAAAAAGCCAAATTAGTAAGCATTTTCAGTGGAAAGATTAGCTCGGACATATTAAATAGAGAGCGAGAGAACAGAGATGTTGAAATTTTGAGCTGAAATTTTCGATATCCCGTTCATTCGTTAGATCATCCAATTTTCCTCCATCCAATCTTCGTTTCAATATGCGACCGATTAAAACGCGAGATTAATCTCACTGAAGCGTGCGTCGAATCACTCTTGCAGGTGTCTTTTATAGGTAAGCGACGAAGGAAACGCGTCCCCGCACACGTTAATCAAGATTAGTCGGGCCAGTCAAAGAGCGTGTTAATCACGTTAAAAACTGTGATGTGGGAGCGTGAGATGGATTCCAATTATATGTATATCGTATTACAGCAAAATGCACTCGGGCGAATTGTACCTTTGCTCGCGCCGGCGGTAACGCAATTGAGATCTCGTAGGCTCTTATGCGATCTTCCTTTCTGATTTTTGTTCTCGGGTTTTTTACCTGTACCTGAAAATTGCACGAGAGATTGCTGATTGCAGCCGCCACAACGACATCCTAAGGTAAAAGGGGCAAGGAGAAAGAGCAGCGAGTTGTGCTGTTAATTTAACTGTCGCGATTATGCCAGGGCGTATCGATTTATGGCTCGATCTCGCGTGGGAACGAAACGCGTGGATCCGCGGACCTCTCTTTGTTATCAGTTTATTAATATCCCGTTGAATGATTATTCTTATCACCTGTATGATAATTACATGAAAAGAAGCGATAAAGCATCTTATTTTTATACGGCCATATAAATTGTCCGTATTCTATTTTTTTGCAATCTTTGATGATGTCAGAAATTATCTCACAAGCGAGGTCGTTTGACGGAGTTTCATTCTGCTTCACTGGAATATTAAATGTTAAATCGTCATTGTTTCAGTAACTTTTTTTTTATTCTGAGTTACTTTAGTATTAAGTAGGGCAAATAAACTCTGGATAATATACTGCAGTTTAACCGAATATACTCCGTTCTATTCTTGATATCTTCGCGAAGTTTCTGATGCTGACGTCATTCAACGTATCACAAAACAAATATTCCGCTTCGTGCAAAGCCATGCCGAAAGGGATAGAGAGAGAGAGAGAGAGGTGGGCTAAATTATCGAAGTCCCTCTCTCCGCTGCTATCGCCGGCTATCGAATGACTCAAATGGAGAACGTTTCATATGGGGGCCGATAAATCCTATTTCGTGCAACATATGTCCCGTAACATCTAATAAATCATCGCCAAGGTTATATGAGCATAAATATCAAATCATTTCCAATTAACAAATGTAAAAAGACTTCGAAAACGTTAAGGCAAACAAGTGACTGAACATATATCTATATCAGAACACGTACACAAAAGCTTATTTTTAAATGCTTTTCTTCATAATATTATAATTTAATTGTAATCTTCAAATATATAAATAAATCTTTAAATATATTTTTACAGTAAAATGTTAATATTATAATACAAAAAGCATTTGAGATTAATAAATTTTGTGTACGTGTTCAAATATAGATACATGTTCAGTCATTGATACGTTTACCTTACAAATCTCTTGTTTTTTTTTTTTTACTAAAAACAAAGCTGGACCAAACGCAGCCATTATTTTATTTTTCCTACTCGTAACACGTTCAACGATCCGAATGGCATAACTTTCTACGGCTCTACGTCAAACGGCAAACGAAGGATTTTTGTAAGTTTATCGTCAAGCCTCAAGAACAACGGTAAACAAGGGGATAATCATGCATCCGTACATTCCGTACAAGATATATAAAGTCTATAATTTGAAGAGCTACTCATTGCGCGCTCGGTGCGAATCGCTCGGTTTCCGGGAACTCACTTTCCGTCCTGCGAAAGAAGCCCTCTTGCCGCTCTCTCACGTACAGGATACCCTCCTTCTCGAATTTCTGCGAAGGCTGCGTAGCCAGTGTCAATAGCTCCTGCTTATTGAATCTCATCTTGCGCGGGCAATCAAGCCGACATATTTACAGTCTCCGTTGCTTACTTGTCTCTTATATATACTGGAAGTCAAAACATGCAAAAGCCTTTTAAAAAAAAGATCATGTTGCTGCAGCCTGTTCGAATCTCTCGCAACACACGCACTGGTTGCGTGCAATCTTGAGCTTTTCTTCTTTAATTCTTTTAAATTCTGTAAAGGTAAACGTACCAGTGGCTGAACATGTATCTATATCTGAACACGTACACAACATTTATCAATCTCAAATACTTTTTTTTATCATAATATCAAAATTTAATTGTAAAAATATTTAAAGATTAAATTATAATATGAAAAAAATCATTTAAAAATAAATCTTTGTGTACTTGTTCAGCTACAGATACACGTTCAGCCACTGGTACGTTTACCTTACTAATTTTTGTTTTTGAATTTAATTTACAAATGTAAATACGATGAAGAGCTGATTCCTTACGTTTGGGACACATCTTAAGACCGGTCTACAATTGCGTAAGCATAGTTGCAAATAGTTGTAGTTGTAAGAATATACCAATCACAATCGAATTTAAGAAGAATATTCGACTGTAATTCGTCGGTTCTTACAACTACAATTACTTACAACAACACTTACGTAATTGTAGACCAGGCTTTATATTGCCCACTTACAACACTGCTTACAACAGTTAAGGAGAACTGTTTAACTGTCAAAAATATATGACCTAAACATTTCACTGCAAGTATATTTCTACAATCGAGCCAGGAGAGCTTCGATAAGCACTCTCACTTTCGATTAAGTTAGTCAATCAAGAAGGTATATCTTGAGTTATAATCAGGGGACAATCGTCAGTTCTTTCGTGGAAAATGGGAGTTTACAGAGAGAGAGAGAGAGAGAGAGAGAGAGAGAGAGAGAGACAGAGAGTGAGAGAGAGAGGCAGAGAGGAGGGAGAAACGTAATTACGTACCATTTTTACAGATGGATCGCTGCTGGCGGTTCCTCTCGCTGCTGCCATCGGCATTGTGGCGCGGGTCTAAAAGATCAAAAACACTGCTAGTAGAAGAGGAGGAGACACGGCACGGCGGCCGCGGCGGGGCATCGAGAGATCTCTATTCGCTTGACACACTCACTGCCGACGACGCTCGCTCAGGACGTCGAATGATGAATTCAGTGGCGACAGTGGGAATCCAGGGGATCCAGGAGGCACGCGTCGTCCGTTCTCGCGATCCGCATCGGGGAAATCCCTGTCAAAAATCAGACGTGTCCCGCGCCGCCGTTCCCCGCGCAGGGCAGCTCATTCCCGTCGTCGCGCTATCGGTGCGGATCAATCTCGTGCCGACGACGGGACGCACGTGCGACATGGAGAACGGAGATGTTGGGCGAATCTCGTCGTCGGTCGGTCGTCGGCGCGTCGTCGTTAACGTTGGAAACTCGCGCGCGGCGCGGCGACGTTTCGACACTTTCTCAACGCATCGCGGGCGGGACGCGGAGGCGCGGAGCGCGAGAGGCAAACATAGCGGTCGGCGGGCGATGCGACAGAACGACGGACATCGCCGCGGCGGCGACACCGAGAGGCGATCCGGGAAGCGATAAGAACAACCGTGCGCGCCGCCGGGTCACCGCGATTGGGTGGTCTACTGGTCTGAGCCGTCTAAGTGGTCTCGAGACTCTCGAGCTCTCGAGTCTCCCCTTCGTCGCTTTTCCGGCACGCTGGCGCCATCCGCCGGCCGATCGCCGAAGTCCCTGACCGACAGGTCGCGAATACCGATTACCGATAATGCAGTACTCTAGTTTAGCAGTTCGAGAAACGAGCAACCGCGACCAAATCGGTCCTCATGTGATTCTAACCTGATCGTTCTGCAAGGTCCAGAGCAAGACTGTGGTGAAATAACAGTAAGAATAGGTTGACAGTTTTCCAAACGCCCTTCAGCCAAAGGGAATTCCCAGGAAAGGTCCGGTCTAACAGATCCTGTTGTGTAACCCAAAGGACAGGTCAAAGTCTCTTCACCTGAAGGATACTCAAGGTAGACACTCCAGATTCTCCTCACCCGAAGGGACACTCGAAGGTCCCGATCTCTAGTCTCTTCTAGATTTTCACCGACGCTAATAATTTCAGAATGTATCACTGAGCCCTTTGCTCTCGCGTACGAAGTACAAGTGCATGTACATCTGTCGCGAGCGACCGACATGTCCGTCAAGCTCTTGCGCTGCCTCGCCGGCGGTCTTCTCGTTCCGAGGGGTCAGCATGTCCGTCACGGCCATCGGATGCGGGGGAAACCGCCGACGATCGCCCGCACCCTGCGGCAGCGTCTCGACGAGCTCAACCGCGTGGACCCGACGTTGAGCTTCAAGGTGAACATCGGCTACCCGGTGGCCAGGGTCGCCAGACGCGCGATAACGAGCGCCTGGACGAGCGAGATCGTGGCGCGGCGGAACAACGCCGAGCTCGAGAGGTCGTCGCGCACCCGGCAGCTGCTGGTGGATCTGCGGCAGGTGAGGGAGGACTGGCTGCAAATCGACGGGACCTCCCACATTCACAGGCTGGCCAAGCACTACGGCGTCTACGACGATCTGTACGGCGACGCTTACTTCATGCCGGTGGTGCCGCTGAGCGTGAGCTACGACCTGCCGGACGACCGGCTGGTGAGGGTCCACACCGGTAACGTGATCAAGCCGAGCGCGGCCTCCAGGGCGCCCGACGTGACGTACAGCGCGGAGGACGGGTCGCTGTGGACCCTGATAATGAGCACGCCGGACGGCAACCTGACCAGCCCGGAGCACGAGTACTGCCACTGGTTCGTCGGCAATATTCCCGAAAGTCGGCTGAAGGAGGGCGAGGAGCTGGTGGACTATCTGCAACCGGTGGCGCCGCACGGCATCGGATACTGCAGATACATCTTCGTGCTCTACAAGCAGGAGGGTCGCGTAGATTTCTCGGAGTACAAGAGAGCCAAGCCCTGCTCGAATCTGGAGGAGCGTAACTGGCGAACGCTGGACTTCTACAGGAAGTATCAGGATCAACTGACGCCCGCCGGTTTGGCGTTCTTCCAGTCGGACTGGGAGCCCTCGCTCAAGGAGTTCTATCACAACACGCTGAAGACGAGGATGCCGATGTTCCGATACGATTTCCCGAAACCGTGCATAAAGAACCAAGTGTTGTTCCCTCTGAGGGAGCCCTTCAATACCTATCTGGACAAGTACCGCGATCCCAAACAGATAACGAAGGAATTTTTCTTGAGAAAAATGAAGAAGGTGCATCCCTTCGACGGGCCGGAGCCGCCGAGGAAGTTCCCGCTGGCCCATCCCAATAGAACGTACAGACCTACCTGGCTGAAATTCGAGATAATAAAGAAGCGGCTGGGATACGGTCGTGTCAACGACCTCAACGAATACTAGATTCACACCAATTGATAATGCAGCGTATTGTAATTGATAAATCAAAGTTGTTTTCAAACGTTGCATTTTTTCTTGTGGCATGACAAGCTATTCCGGTTTCAGGTGTGCCTCCAGAATCTGCCTGCTCTGATACTTGATGTCTGCTCGCGACGGAACAGTAGCGTCGACTATCTCGTGTTCGACCATTAGCCCTGTAAAATCATATGGCTTGTAACGGAGAGCGTCGATAAAACTATCGATGTTTTACAAAAAAAAAAAAGCAAGAAGGAAGAGACACTTTACTAATTTCTTCCTCTTCACCGGTCCCGAATATCAAACCGGAATTATAATTCGATACGTAGGTGTGATAGAGATCCCGGGCTTCGTCTTCCTTCTGCTCGAGATCGAAATTGCTGATACCGAAGAGAATGTTTATTTTTCGGCTGACCTTTGACAGCAGCGTTAAAACTGTAAAGACCGATGAACCACGGTAAAATAATTATTTTCCTATCATAATTTTTAACTTAATGTTTTGAGGAACAGAAAAAGATTTAAATCCATCGTATATAAATCATTTATAGTTAATTATATAATTATATAAATTATCTAATGACTATGTTAATAATTATAATTTTTCTTTACCATCGGTGTCCATTCCTTCGATCTCCGCCAGCACGTCTTCTGTATCTTCTTTATCGTTGAATATCGTCGTTTCTCTCTTATTCTCTTTGACCTTCCTCACTCCTTTGCCGCTATATTTCATGCAAAGCAACATCGTGTTCATACTCTGTAAGGCCGCTCTGATATTCGTGAGCAATTCGCCATGATCCTTTATCTGTTCCTTCGTGTCCTTCTCACGTTTCTTCTCGATTTCGATTTGTTCCAATATATCTTGCATACCGTTTGTCTTGTACCTTACAGATTTTTAAATGATCATTGAATTCGTACTTAATGAGATAAAAAAACATATGCCTATAGATAGTAAAATATCAATAATTAATTGTATTTTACTATATAATTTCTTTATAATATTTTAATTTTGATTTCTTTATAATATTATTAGTACGCTCAATGTTATCTTATAGCAACTATTTACTGTTCTGTTGCAATTTTCGTGGAATACTTGAGACCCTCGAGAACTTGTAAAGCCTGATTCTTTTTGTTCAATAAAGCGTCGCGATTCTTTATATTGACGTCTAATCGCGCCAGCAAAGCTGTCCTGTGCTCGGATTGATTTTCAAGCCTGATCACGAGAACGAAATATTTTATAGCGATTTTAGATATTATAAAATAATACACGAAGCTCAAAATAGAATACCTCGATAGCAGGTCATGATACGAACGCACGAGTAGAGATTCTTTCACTTCGGTGCAGATACCTTCCAACTGTGTTAACTGATTTTCGAACGTTTTGTTGAACACGTCGGTATCTTTTTTCGCAAAAATGTGAACGCTCTGTAAAATGTAAATTATAAATAAGAAAATACTTGAATGAATTTCTTCATCGTACAAAAATCCATCATTGAAAAGTAGAGCTCCTCAAAACTTTATTTAGAAGCTGCAAACAGCAGGTATGAGGCTGCATAAATTCTTCAATTAACTTAAATATTTTTTGTCCAAATTTTATTGTAGATATCACTTTTTTCAATATCATTTTTTTTTCAATTCTTTCACAGAGAGAACAGCACAGTTTGATCTCATTTGTATTACTCACCTCAACGCGCACTAATGACTGCGCGTAGGCCCACAGATCCTTCACCTGATACTGCACCGTGCTCAACATTTGCTCCCTGATTTTCATATTACGCCAGACGACGCGAGACATTCGTTTGTACTTCTGCCTGACGTCGTCCAGATTCTCCGCTGCCAGCTGGCCCATCACCGTCACCTTCAGCATCTCTTTGCATTGGGAGGATTGATCCTTCTTCAAAATGTTCAACAGGGTATCGAAGAATATCGCGTCCTACAAAAGATTTCGCGGGAGCAAGGAATGATGCGGCCGCGCGAAGGAACATCGAATTAGATTCCTCTGTGTTTTTGAGACACAAATACTGGCCTTCGAAACTTAATAACGTGACGATCAAAGATCTTTACCTTCTTCAGGATACTTAGCATCGACCAGTACGTGGAATGTATGTCTTTTGCCGCGTTATACTTCGCGATGGATCGCTGTAATTGCGCTACCAATCGTTGCTGCTCGCAGTTCGGCAGGTACTCGCTTTGCTCCTCGAGTTCGATCGAAAGAACGTCGTGCTCCAGCTTGTCATTCAGCGAACGAGCAAATCTTTACTCTCTATGGCTCAAAGTTAGCGCAAAAACGTGTATACGAAGCTTAATATTACATACTGAGTACACAAAGAACGTCATATTATCATTGCGGTATATTAATACTCATCTTCTAATAGGCTTGATCTTATATACAAAAATTTTATAACATACTAAATACGCGTAGCTACTTTGCTAGTGATTATTATTCCTACCGCGTAAATATTTTACATTTGTTATGCCGCTTAAGGTTCTACCTGTAATTCGACACCTCCCTTCAATCTTTTCTTTCTCTCATAGTAGAGCTTGTCCAAGAGTCGACGTTTCAAATTGCAATCTTGATACACCGCCGCATAAATTTCCTATACGAGACAAGACTTTCGCACTACAGCGTATTCCAGAATTATATAAATATTTGTGTTTTTTTTTTTCATCGCGAGAAATACGAATCATTTCTTTTTTAAAGAATTCGAAGGCAATATTGGTGTTTATTCTTACGGATGGTTTCAGGTGACTGAACGCCAAGTAAAATCTTTTATAATCGGCCTGCAGCGATCGGAGGATATGTTGTTTACCGTCGTCGCGGAGATCATTGACAATTTCGCGATGTCTCTCAACATCTACTTCCAGGGACGCGACCTTCCTTGACACTATCGATTTCAATCTCGTTGCTTGCGACAGCTGCAGCCTCTTGTCGCGTGCTATCGAAATACAATCCAGGTATAATTACGTACCCAGTAAATAAAAATTAATCCAAATAAATTGAAAATTGCAATTCATTTTAATTTATCCGAATTGACGCTTAGAGTCCGGAGATACATTCATGTCCCTATTATTTTTGGATTGAAATACAAAATGAGCTATTTATCATGTTAATTCGGACGTATTCGTGTCTGTATTACAATTATTACATTATTTTTGAATTCAAATAAATTGAAATACGAAATTAGCTATTCGATCATTATATTGAATTCTAATGTATTCATGTCCATATTATATTATTTTTGGATTCAAATGGATTCGAAAAATCAGAAGCGTCAGTTTGGAAATATCGAAATGAATTCATTTCTATCCATTTTAATTTATTTCGTTGGCTGGGTAGAATCTATATTCTTTATTGAGCTACTTCAAAAAGAATGTTATCTCAGAAATATCCAAACTCTTGCGCACTTGTTTTATCTTATCTATATGTCTAAAAAAAACTTCTATTCCAGCTATATATTGATATAGAAATAGTAACATCACAAATATAACTTTATCTGTAAAAACGTATTCTCAAATATCGTATAAGTTAATATTATATCTATTCTAAAAGTAAAATATGGCTGTTACTGCTGTTATATTAATTTAAGATAAATCCTATTCTAGACGTATCTATTTCTCTATCTAATTAGAGTTGAAAGTAGAGCGGATATCTATCCCAATTTGCGTAGACAGTAGATAATTATGCTTGATTAATTTTGAACAATGCTTAACCATGCAACTTGAGAATTCCACGATATCGACTTATTTTGTCCCTGACAAGCCATGTCTCCACTTGCATCTCCTTAGGAGCTTTCGCACGACCCATTTTCCCGACGTTCCGCGGCCCTTGATGGATTGCAGCATCGAGTATTAAACATCACGTGACAGGCAAACGAGAAAATTGTCATTATCCGATTAACTGCGCGGCTGCATTCCAGTTATTATGGCAACGAGAGCGGTAACTATGCCATTAACAATAAAACACGTTTTGAAACGCTCGTTTAGAAAACGGCGTCATGCGCTTCGAGATATATATATCACTGAGAAAAAAAATTACTTAAAACAAATAAATATGTTTCAGGTACCCCTCAAAGAAATAATTTTCTTGAAGCAAGTAAAATTTTTTATTTTAAGTAAAAGTGTTTACACTGAGAAAAAAAAT